CTCTTTCTTTTTTTTTTTTTTTTTTTTTTTTTTTTTTTTTTTTTTTTTTTTTGCCACCGAGTTTCAGGTTTGCGAGCGACAAAAGAGAGGAAACTGATGTTTCTCGCGATGGATTCCTTGGTGTTGTTAGCAAATGTTTATGATTTTATTTGATTCTTTGATTGGTAATATTGTTCTGTATGTCGAGGTACGTAGATTAAAACACGGTTTGTTGTTTCTAAAATATACCAGCAGAATATCCATAATTCTCAAATATTATAAATTCTTTTCTAACTGCTATTCTCGTTTGTTCATCATGTTCAAGTATCTTTCTTCTTTCAATATCCAATACATAAAAATCGTAGAATGCATAGACGATCGTTGAATTACATTAACACTAAAACTACCAAAATGGTCAAAATTGATAATTTTTGTTAGATATCTCATAAATGTAAAACAGAACCTTATATCCTATTCTATTATCTTACTCTATTGTAAAAATTTTCTATTTCTTTTTTTTTTCTTTCTTTCTTTCTTTACTGTCACGTCTCCGATGGAAATTTTATACTTTAGTCGGCATTTCTAGTGTTTAGTTCTAGAATCAATAGTTTGAAAACTATGTAAGTTTCGTAAGTTAATAATATCGTGCCAGAGGAAAAACAGCAGCCTCAAACGCAATTCAATAGAAAGAAAAGCCTGCTCGCATTTCGATAGCAACTTGCCAAAATTCATGAAGCTCGCGTATTTGAAAAGATCTCGCGTTCTCGATCGGCATGGTAGCACCTCTTTACTGGTGGAACTCTGTTGGTGAAGTTGGCCCGAATCGGTGGAACGCTTTTGCATGGTTTCACACGTTCTACGGCAATCCCGATCGGATTAGACGCACCGTTGGCGAGCGCAATGTGTCTCGCATATTTCCGTCACGCTCGGCCGATCCTGTGCCTCCATGGCGCCAACCGCTCTCCTCTCCGTCTTCCTCTCCTCCTCTTCTTCTTCTTCTTCGTTTTCTTCTGCATTCGAGACGTCTCCCAGTGGCTGGAGATCTGCAGGAGCTCTCTCGCCATTCTTTTTCGACCAAAAGAGAAGGGGTAAATCTCGGATCCGCTGTTAACGAACGATGGGAATTCAAAGGAACAGCCGCGGCTAATTTCCCGATAACAAACTTAATCGTGACTTTCACGTGCAACTGTGAAAATTGTATTACGTAACGACGTTACGTGACGCTGAATGGCCACGTCCGCTTTCAGGAGAATTCGAACGAATCAATTTCGATCACGAAATGTAAATCCTTTTTCTTTTACGTTTATGCGATCGTGCACGTGAATAGTGTTAGATAAATAATTGATGGGATACGGCCAATGTATAGCAGTTGCAATGAAATTAAAATGGAAAGTGTGCCGGGGCTCGAAAATTTGGATCATGCCTAAAAGAAATAACAACGTTCTGAAATATTTCATTTGTGATACTATTTTCTAATTAATCGTTTAATTAAAAATGAAAGTTACAGTTATAGTACTCCGAGATTTCGACCAAGGGAAACATTACTCGAGTTTTTAAAATCAGTTGTAAGCTCATTTGTCAGTGTATTTAACGAGAGCGAAATACAACGATAAATAACGATAAATGGAGAAAATTATTGTTTAGATACATTATTGTGTATAATACATTTTTATGGGTATGGGATGTTGTGTTGCTTGAAAATGCGAGGGAAAGTTTGGTGTAAGTGTACTGCATGGTTTTGCATGGCGCGCGCGAGATGGGGTAATTTGTCTGGCTGGAATATTCTCGATGTCGCAGAAGTTGAGGAAATATGACTTTTATGGTGGCTGCTTGGTATCTAAGGAAACATTGCACGCTGATGGCAGCTTCTTTCTGGATGAATGATAGTCTCTTCTTTCATGCTTGAGGACTATATGAATTCTTTAAACATTTTGTCTAATATCAATTTGGTAGTGACAAGATGCAATGTTTTCTTGAATGTTACTTACCGCGGCATACATTGCACAAATCTTTCAGAGAGACAAGCAGTTCACGTAACTGGAGTTCGTTCATAACAGTTGTTCAGTGCTTTTGTGATTTTTCTTTCACATCCAAGCCAATGGATATTCAATCAGGAAGAATTCACTTTACAGTTTCATTGAGATAAATAGAATTCATGGAGTTCTAAAAGTTCAAAAGTGCCATTTCTACTCATTTTAAAAGATTAATTTGTCCATGTGGCTATCTTGCGGCTGTTAATTCATAGAACAGACATATTCTTGAAATTTCAACGTTCGTCCACTTTTTTCAACCTTCAAATTTTCTAGCCAAAGAAGACAGTCAACAAGTGCAGACACTTCACATCACACACTCGCGTCAATTAATTCTTTTACTTCGTCCAATTGCAATTAATAACTAACCCCCCTAAAAAATTACAGGCATCCCGCTGCGCAACGACGCTGGCAATTACTCGGTGGTCGGAAAAATCCGAGAACAGACCACTAGAAACGTAGGATGACTTTGGTCGTCGAAGTCGGTGGACAAAGGAGGCCCCCATCTCTGCCTCTCGCCCCTGCGAGTATACACAGCCGTTTCCAGGTTCCATTGGAATCGTCTTCGAAGGTAGCCGCTACATTGTATCGAAACATTCCATACCGCTAGCGGAGCAGGGGCAAAAAACGAAAGACACTCCACAGCGTCCCAGGTACCATACGTCTACGTGAGGCAATTTGATCCTACGTTTTTGTGGAAGCACGAGCGTTCCAGGTAATGAGCGACGTTTCGCTTTTTCCGCCCGGTCGGCCGCTTTTTTTTCTTTTCTCTCTCGCCCGTTTTTCTTTCTCTCTTTAAGGAACACCGTTATGATTCCACACGGGGGTCCCCGGAGAGTACCGGTATTCACACCGAAATGGCCGTGCTCGATTTCGTGGCTGAAACAGGGTTTTCGACCGTGGACGACGGATCGGGAGAGACAACGCGATAACGCTTCTGCCGATCGAACAGGCGAATAAATCTATAGACGTGCCTGCGACCCGATTCTGATCCCGCTGCCATTAAGCTGATTTATTCCAATGACAGTCAATGGTAGCTATTTTAAACTCTATTAACGATAACACGTGTTGTTGATTCGTATCGTTGAGTATCTTATGATGTAAGATATTTAACACGTTTGAAATATTTAAATATTTGACATGGTTGAAATCTGGGACTATGTATGTAGTGTCAACCTATATATCAACGAAATTCTAGTACGAGAATTCGTATTTCATTCCGAGTGATTTATCGACGGGATTATCTTTACAAATGACTGCTATTTAAGTTAAAAAACATATTCAGAGTTTTACTTCTTTCTTCTTTCTTTGTCGTTTCTGTCTTTTTTTTTTCAGTCAGTTAAAATCAATTCAATTCAAGATTAAAGATAG